CCAGAGCTGGTTCTCTGCTCCTGGATCCAACAAAAAGTATTTCAAGGTGTTGCTAAGAACCAGACTCCCCAAGTGAGGTGTTTCTCCTCATGCCAACCTGCCATGGCGACAGCCAGTAGCACATGTCAAATGCTGGCAATCCCCTGGTAGAGAAACGTGGCAGCTGTTGGCAAAGCACTCTGCACTGAGTGTCTGATTCCCTTTACATAGTGCCTCCAGATTTTGAAGCCTCTTTGACAGCAATTAGGTCCTTGTCTAAAATCTCATAATTGCACATGGCAGGACTGAGCTTGCAGGAATAGTAAGCACAGAGATGAAATTCTTGGTCCAGGACCTGTTTCTGGGACAGCACAACCCAGATAGCATAGACCAGGGCTACTCAACTTTGGAAACCCTGGGGACCACAATGATACTCACAGCACATGCCGAGGGCCGCAATTTAAGTGTGGTTGCATATACATGCAAATATATATGCAAATAGCTTTTCACACTGACAGGCATGAACACACAGATTAAGGTGAAACTACCCAACACACAGGCCCCATTCAAGTCAGTTCTGCTGCTATTAATACAATGCAATATTTACCCGATTTCCACCTATATGGCAGCACTTTCAATGAGCAATGACAGTTCAGGAATTTAACTACTAAAACGCATCTCAGCAGAAGACTATTCTATTGACTCGCCGTCATGGAGTGTGTTCCCAGTGGAAGCCATGTTCAAAGGTGTTGAGCCCTGTGTAAATCCAAACCGCACCGCAGGCTGCAAACAAATGGGCTGTGGGCCGCATGTTGAGTAGCCCTGGCATAGATCTTCCTAAAGCCCGACACATAACTAACAGTATGAAACAAAGGCTGTGAACCAGAGTGCACCAGGCACTGGCAAAAACCAACAACAAACTAGGTATTAGCTAACCCCAAGTAAGCACATTCCTGACTTTAAAAAAGCACAAAACCACAGAACTCTCTCAAGTACCTATGTAAACACATTCCTAAGATACAAAACCACATAAACTCCTCATAAAAGAAAATAAATTCAAAGGTTTGCTCAAATAAGCAGGTACAAAAAATAAAGGGCAGTAACAAACAGCATCTAATAAGGAATACAAAACTTCATCTCAATATATTAAGTTCTAAGTGTGGCAACTTTGTACTCGCCAAGGGAACAGCATCCTGATATGCTGACTAAGTGGGTACCTTGTCACAGGAAGTCATTAATTAATGTACTTGTAACCATTAATCCAGGGCTCAACCATTCATTGTGCTTTGTCAACAACAAACCTGGCTAAATACCTTCACCATCAAACCAAGCTTGTGGTCTTTCTTTGTAAATAACAAGGTCTGGCAAATCAGTTAGTAGGGTCCTCTGCTCCTGCAGCTGACACCAAAGCTCAAAGATTTTTTAAATATTTTAATATATGGAGATATATTTATCTCAGAGAGCTGGAAGGGACCTTGAGAGGTCATCAAGTCTAGTCCCCTGCCTTCACAGCAGGACCAAGTACCATCCCTGACAGATTTGCCCCAGATCCCTAAATGGCCCTCTCAAGGATTAAACTCACAACCCTGGGTTTAGCAGGCCAATGCTCAAACCACTCAGCTATCCCTTTCCTCCGAAGAACTGTAGCACTGAGCAGTCATTGCAACTTGAACACTTTAACAATATTTTTCAGCACCAAAATTACTGGTGATGCTGGCCACTCCTAGAAGTAGCAGTTTCAAGATGAACAGCTGGCATGGGCCAGGGCATGCAAGGATGCACATGGAGATGAATGCTGTTGTCAGGTGACTGAAGCTCTCTCAGGCTCAAAGAACTGGTTGGGTTTTCGCAGCAGAGGGTTCAGAGTACCGGATTTGGGAGGACACCCATATGAGCACCTATATAAATCTGCAAACCCAATGAAGCATGTAGTTTTTCAAAGGCTTGATGATGGTGCCCACCCGCAAATTGCCTCCATGCTGGCAAGTAGCTTTTCAAAGTCAGTGATATTTGATCCATGACATTGGACTAAGCAAACCTGAGGAGCTTAGTCAATAACCAAATTAAAAAACAATAGAAGAGGCTGACAGGTGGATGAGGGAAGAGTCCCACCCCTGCTGCAGCTGAGAGATGTAGGGCTCCCCCCACTGCATCTGAGAGCTCTGGAGCTCCAGCCCCACCACATCAGGGATGGCAAAATGTCCTTGAGGTCTCTTGAAAGTCAGGGAATCCATGGCTTCTGGGTCGTCTGAAACATTTCCCCCCTTACTAACGAGGTATCTGAAGAGATGTTCCTTGGCCCTCCAGAGGGATCAGTCTCAGAAAAATTATTTCTCCAGTTCCTAGTACAATTCTTCCTTTTCACCTACCAAGGGATCTATGTAGTTCATCCAAGTGGCAGGATAATTTCAGTAGTTCAGTTCAGCTGTCAAAGTAATCAATGAGAGATGTACAAACCACCTTTTGATTCTAAGGCTGTGTGTACACTGGAGACCTTGCAGTGGCACAGCTGTACCAGTGCAGCTGCACCACTGTGGGATTGCTGGTGTAGCTGCTCCAGGCTGACAGAAGAGAGCTCTCCTGTGGATATCATTAAACCAGCTCCAATGAGTGGTGACAACTACATCGGTGGGAGAGCACCTCCTGCAGACATAGTGTGTCCGCACTAGTGCTTCTGCTGAAGTAACTTATGTCAATCAAGGATGTGTTGTTCCTTGTACCCTGCGCAACAGAAATTATACCAACAAAAATACCGTGAAGAGATAGCCTAAAACATTTAATTCACAAAACAGACAAGCTACCTGCTTAACCCTAAGAGACTTTATGTTTGGTAAAAAGAAAACTACTTATTTCACTTTGATGTATTACAAGCAGGAGTTTTAAACAAAAAAAAAATTCAGCACTTAAAGTGATGGCTTTGCAAGTCAGAATGAAAGGTAAGTACCTCTTCCTAATCATTGCCTGGCAGCACACACAATCTAAACAGAACACATAAACTGGCTAGTGTATTCAGGTGGGACCATGACAAGATCGTGAGAAACACAATTTTGCTCTGTTATGAAATTACACGGAAAATTTTAATAATTAACCACCCCGCACAAAGCTATTTTCAAGTCTCCTTCTAACTATACTTGTGCTGTTAGCAACTGCTGAAAGAACAGAAGCGCTTGCCAAGCATTTAATAACAAAATTCCAACCTTCTGACACAAGCTTGGAAATTCAGACTTATTCAACATAAAACCCTCAATTCCAGTCAAAGTGTCACTATTGGATTGTGTCTGAGACATTTACAGACACAAAACTGCACACGTTAACAGAAAGAACTGCAGATCAGGCTGAGTGAATTAAGAGATTTATTCAGAGATCTAACTCTCATTCTCATGGACATACAGTGAAGAGGAATTACTGAAACTGGGAAAAATAAAGTCTTCAAAATGACCAGTTGACCAACATGCCTTTTGATAATGTATCTCTTTAAAGAGCTTTCGGGGTAGGAAAGGAATGGATTAAAACGGCACTGTCCAGTAGTTTACACCAGAAATTTCAATTTACAAAAGCTAATGTTAATAGAAACACGTTTAAATACCAATGAAACAGCCCTGTGTATGATCCTCCCCACTCCCCAAAGGCCAGAGATCCAAACATTGCAGGTATGTTAGTGTGCAAGCATCAGAAAGAAAACGGAGGTAAGTGGCTACAAACTCCAGTGAAAGTGACCAGCTATCATTGCCTCTTCAAGGAATGGAGTGCATAAAAGTTTAAAGCCTGAATTGTGTTTTAATATCACCAGGTGTTTATTAACAGATACAGGCATAAAAAACACAGTAGAGAAGGTGGAAGGTTGAACAGACCTGTGGTCCATGTAGGCCAGTACAGTCTCTCTGACAGTACCCTGGAACACATACTTTAGAGCAGAAACTTGCCAGAAACTGGGAATAGGTGACAGAGGAGGGATCACTTGGTAACCTATTCTATTCACTCCATCTGGGGCACTAGCACAAGCAACTGTGGGAAGGCAGGATAGAGGACTAGCTGGATCTTTGGTCTGATCAATTGTGGCTGTTCTTATGGTCTTCATGCTGCCCAACTAGAAGGCACAACTCAGAAGTGGCTTGCTCAGATAAGTACATTAAGGTGCAAATCATGCACAGAGTTCGGCAAAATCCCTGGGTCACTAACCCAGGGAGGGGATAACAGAACCAGATCCAAGAGAGCCCCATTCTGCTGGTGGTGGTGGTGGTGACTTCTTGCCCAATCTAATGCACCACTGTGACATTCTATATCTGGGAGGAAGGGGGGGGGGGGGAGTGCCCGTAGCTCTCATGTTCCCCATCTACCTATAACCAACACTGTACCTACAGCATGCCATGAGCAGGATCAGGGAGAGGTTCTGATGAGTTGAAACCCACAGTTTCATCTAAATCAGAAAATCATTAGTGCATGTGAAGTTATGAGGACATGCTGAATGGTTGCTGTGGGTTTGGGAGGTGCCAGTGACTAGCTCTCCAGTGACAAGGGAAGCCTTTGTCAACTGCTCCCTTATGCCTCGTGAAACAAGATTTACAGGAGCAGTTGACAAAGGCTTTCCTTGTCGTCCGATCCGCGTATTGACTTGCGTGCTGCGCCGATGATCAGCTGAACTGGCACAGCGTGGTGGTCATTTTTATTTTAATGTAGCCTGGGATATTTAAATCCCCACTTCATTGACTGTGTCGGGTAGCCTATTTTACATGCCTTTGTCGGCAGAGGCATGTAGTCTAGACATACCCTGGGGTATTGCTTCACCTTGTGACTCCACAGTGCCCACCATGGACTAAGGGTATAAAACAGAACACAAGGGCTCTGGTTTGCTTCCAGTAAAGCAAGGAGGCTGTGAAAAAATTCAGACTTAAACAGATGAACTAGTTCAACTGTGGACAGACTAGAGCTCCTCCCCGAACTCAAGGTCTAGACACTGAACCATCATGACCTTTACTACTGCCCTATTTACCAGTTCAATACTGAATGTGTGTTGCACTTACCCTACGAAAAGATACCACGTAGAATGTATCCCCCCTTCTGTGAATAGCTTCAAAGAAGTCTTGGTAACTTCTTGGAGAGGCATAATATACCTGTAGCTCATTCCCTGAGTGCCTGCTGAAATAGAAAGGGGAGTTAACAAGCTTAAGTGACATACCCTCTTTAAGGGCCAGGTTTCCAAACAGCTCTGCATGCAGCACCACCTGTTGCCTCCTGGGGTTTGTGACAGAGTATGAACATATGTGCATAGGACAAGGGCTGCCAATCTCTTTGGCTCTAAAAGCAAGCCAGAGGCAAGAATACACATGGCACTTCAGAAACCTAGCTACTAGTCTTCTGCAATTCTAGATGGATATATCTCCACCAGTCTTGGCATGAGAGTTAAAATATTCTGCCTGATTCTCACAGCACTGCCTCACTGTTCTTGCAGGACAGGAAGACATTTCTATGATATGCTGCTACCAACCCTCCCCTCCCCCAATTCATTTTTAAGTAGTAAAAAATGTTCTTTCATTTGCAGAACTTATGTATACTGTTCATTGGATTTCAGCATAACTCACTTTCAAGAAGCGCTGCTGTAGTGGCCCACCGTCTGCTTGCAGCACTTGCTGTGGTCATACCATAGCAAAGTGGCACAAAGCAATACTGCACTCAGTAAGCAGAAACCATGGTCTTGGCTCTTCACTGCTGGCTCTGCTTTCACTGACGGGTACGTTTTGTTTGATATTTTTAGGGGCACTCTCTCATGCAGCTCAGGACACGGACACATGACAAAATGACCGCCTGCTGCGATGCTTGTAGCACTACTTCATGCTGCTATCAAAGTACTTTTGAGGTAGCAACACTGCAGCTGTTAACCCAACAAGATCCGATTCTGTTCCAGAAGGGCTGGCTGAAGATTAGATGATAAAAAAGCTTGGGGCCAGGTAAGAAGTGCCCTCCATGGCAGCTGCAACTCCAGTGGGCAGTCGGGGGGAGGAGTGCATGCCCCCTGGCTGCGATCGGTCTAGGTTCATCTGTGCACTTTCCCCGACAGTGAGAAAGAGGAACAGCTACCAATATTCCCATATGAATCGGGGGCAGGGGACAGGGAGGGAGAATTTCAGCCCCCCAAAGTACGTGGGGGTGGGAGGGCCAGGGCTGGGGCAGTCCCAGAGGGAGAGAGGCATGCACCCAGTCAGCCCATTTCACCTTATATGGAAAAGCAATCCTATTCCAGATACATCGTGTTCTCCTGGTACAACCAAACCCTACCTTGCTCTTAGTTATGATAAGAGAAAGCTGCATACTGAATGTGGTGGTTCTAGCCCTTACAGTTTAGGAGTTATTGAAAAAACAGACCAATAGACAGATGGACAAACGCTCATGGTCAGTCTCGGTGTCTTAGTCTCCATATGATCATCTTCGTTCCCAAGTGAGAGAGCTTTCAACTTCCTCCAGAATCCAACACCTGTCCCCCACCTCACAATTCCAGTCCTTTGTTCTCAAACAGGGGTCTATGTTCAGCTTCCCTACTGAGAGATGGGGAAATCCCTTCCCAGGAGTGCCGCTGTTTGCCAGTGTCAATGTCCTGGTGACTGGGTTTTCCACTGTCTTCTCAGAGTGGGCCTCGGCCAGTCCTTTTCAATAACCCATTTGGGCTCAGACAACTAGGCGACATGCATACATCTCTGTGTCTCAGTCTGCCCTGAGAGCCACAGTCTCTTTTCCCCTGCTGAGTAGTCATGCAAAATATCAGGGAAACTGATACAATTATTAGACAATTCTTATTTTTTCTACATCTTTTCCTTCTTCGATAGCAAACTGAGCTTTCACTTTTCCCAGTGGCTTGAGGAAGTTCAAAACCACCACTGTTATCTATAGTGGACCTAGTGTATTTCTCATCACATTTGTGGCTATTCTACCATGCATTTTCATGATCCTTACAGCATTGTTTTTAATCATCCAAACTTACAGTTTCAAATACTTATAAAACTGCTGCAAACTATCTTCCCTTCTGGAAATTGCGTCACATAATTCATTCTCCGAGCCTGAGTTACTGGCTTCTTTTCTTGGATGCACAGAGTATGTGTCAGTCCCCTGTCCCAAGCAAACCTTACTTCATCAATCCTGAATGCTTTTTTTCTTCTATACTGTACTGTTTATTTTTAGCAACAAAATTGGCTGTTTGCTTATTTGGCCTCTTGATTTTTCACAACAAATCACATGCCGTGTCAATATGGGTGTATCTAGACTACACCGAACTGTGGAAAGAGGATATGCAAATTCCAATCGCGCTTTCAAAGGTGAAAGTAATTAATACAATTTTTCGGAAGTGAAAGTAATTAATACAAGCAATTTTTTCAGCATATCCTCCTCCTCCCCACCCCCGTCGAAAAGCTGCATAAACCTCCTTTTTTAAGGAAGAGCCTCTAGAGTTCTAGAGATTTTGCCACTTGCTCAGATTCAAGGCTCTTCGGTAAAGGCCTTCTGAACTGGGTGAAGATACTCCTTCCCCAACCTAAAGGAAAGGGAGAAAACCTACTTGACTCTTACAATAATAAGAGAATCAAAAACTCAGCTGGCTGAGTTTGGAGGCCTTCTTAAAAATGACATTTTCTTTTTGTATGTAGTATTGCGATAGCCATGTTGGTTCCAGAATATTGGAGACAAAAAGAGGGTGAGGCAGTATCATTTTGGTCCCGTTAAATATGCTTTCTGTGTTAGTTTGGTTTTGGTCTCCCTGTCTTGGATCCTATAAAGGAGGGAATGCTGCAAACTCCCCTTCCTCTAACGAATGGATAGGGAAGATCAGTAGGAGATGACAAACCAAACAGGAGACGTAGCTATTTGTCTGTGGTAGGTTTCCTTGGCCCTAGCATTGAAGCCTTCTCTCATATTGAGGGTCCCTGGAACAATCTCAAAAAGAAAAAAAATCTTCCCTCTTGAGCACTTGAATAATCCCAGAGTGTCTTCCTACCTTAGGGACTGGACTGATGGATGGACTACTCACTGAGACCAGCTCAATGGCTTGTTCTGAAAGTTCCCTCTTTTTAGGAGGGGACGCAGCAGAGCAAGAGGAGGACTCAGTCACTGACAAACACCAGAGGAAGAAAGTAGAGCCATAATATGAGGGTGTCTCCACAAATGCCCCGGAGGGTGAACAGAAAGATTTGAATATGCTAGTTTAATCAGTGTCAGTAAATGTAGAGGCAAATTAGAACAGTGGGATGGAGTACTCAGAGGTAGATATGAGACCAGATAAGCCTAAGGCAAAAACCAGAGTATCTAATCACCACTAATACAAAAGGACAGGTTTTGTTTTGCCTTACCTGATGCTGGGGTCTGTGTGGGGCATGGCCATCAGCTGAGACTCTGCATTCTCCCCTGTAGAGCTCTGAAAAGGGAAACAAATCACATCACACAAAAGGGAAGGCAGTGGTCTCCTAAATTCAATGCTATACTGTACATGAATCCAGGTCACCAACAAAACAAATTACCTTGCAGTGCACTTGTGAGACAGGTGATCACAGAATTAAGCCCAACAGCAGGTCTGACAGTTACCATGCAAGTCACACACGTAGGAACGAGGACGGCTGTTCCAGATACATTGCTCACAGCTAAGGCTACTGTAGAGGGGTGGCCACATGGGAAGCACGTGAACAGTTGACTAGTGGAAGCTAGCTCCCAGCCCCTGCTCCTTTCACCTGAGGTCCCACTCCTTCCATCTCCCTGCCTGAGCCTCCCCACTCCTATGGCCACCAACCCCTGGGGTGCTGGCAGCTGGACAGGCTGCATGGCCCCAGCCCTGGCGCATTGGGGGGTTGAGTGGGCAGCCCATGGTATCTACCACCTATGAAGAGCTGCACTCTTAAGAGTCAAATAGGGTGTCAAGAGGTTCCAACAACTCAGTCTCTAACTCCAAGTTACCCTTTTATATTTAAATCACCCTGAGGGACTGCCTAGGAAGGCCCTACTACTATCTCAGCAGGTGAAGCAAGTGGATGCAGATCTGTCAATTCTGTTTCCCCTGCTGGGGGAGCCTCGGCTGAGGCTGGCTCTTCTTGGGACCCTACTCTGATTCCTCCTCTGAGTCGGGGGCAGGTGAGAGACTGTCGCCAACCACTTCTCAGATGTCCCTGGACTGACTGGTGCACATGCTCCGACATCTGAGGAAACTCCAGAGAGCTGCCCCAGGGCTCTGAGGTCATGCGCTTGCTGGCAGTGCCAGGGAAAACCCTTATGTCCCCAGTGGGTGACCTTGACCTGCAGGCAACGTGCCTTCCTTGCTGTCCAAACCTGAGGCTCTCTTGGGGACCATGGCAATAACACAGCTGCTTGCCTGCCTGTTCCATGCCAGTCATCCCCACATTCCTCTCCAGGGGATGGGCTGTACTGAGTGCCACATCTCTGGTGATGGTACTTGCCTGGCAGACAATGATAACCCAGTGATCCACGCCTCGTGCTCTGAGAGCAGTGTTGCTACCAACCTGCAACGGGGACAGGAAGGGGAGACCTATGTCTTGACTCTGAAGACTAGTGATGAGACTCCAGAGACTGGCAGCACAACACAACACAAGGGATCAGTATCGTGAGTCTGGACAGCAATGCAGCTCAGGGGACCAGTGCCGAGCCTCTGGGGACTGGCTAAGTGCCTCTGTGGGGCTGCGCCAGACAGCTGGTGATTGACCCAGGGAGCAGAGCTGGGAACGCTGGCCAGAAAGCTGACTCATGTCTGAGAGCCAATGGCACTGCTCTGCAGCGATGGAGATCACAGAAAGGCCCCGGGGTGGGCTTTCCCCTCCAACAAGCAATGTCACTGGCAGGTGTCAGCAGCACCAGAAGAGACAACATGTCCTTAGTGGTCTAGAATGCCTGTGTGCGGATGGTACCATCATAGGACTTCCTGGGGTGGCCAGGTGGGTCTCCGCACCTCCTTACATGCTGAAGCCTTGCTAACATCCAGAGATGAGCTGCTCGTTGCTCACCTCTTACTCTCTCCTTCCACTTACAGTATGTAGGAGACTGGCCCCTCTCAGGCCTGTTCTGCTTCTTAGACAGCACAGTACCTTAGACAGTATCTCTTAGTCCACCCACTGGCCAGCAGGAGCCTTTGCAAAGGCTGCTCCCTTGCTCTCCCTGCTAGTCGCTGCCTCAAGATTGCATTCATCTGCCCATAGCCCTGCAGCACCAGCTCTTACTGCCTTCCTCGTGCTCCTTCTTATATACCTCCTTCTCAGGCAGAGGTGAGGAGAAGAGCTTAGTGCCCATAACATCTGCTTCTCCTGGCTGGGAGGAGGGCTTCTGGGGCTTCTTGGCCTGCCGCAGCCACTCCAGTTGCTTCCAGGTGAGGCCCTACAATGTTGTTAACATTTTGAGAAACAAAGAACTCCCACAAGCCTTCGCACTCCCAGCTGGCTGGCTACAGGCTAGTCCTGTGGTGTCCAATCAATTCCGAAGTAGCAGCTACTATAGTGAACTAGCCACACTCAACTGGCCAAATAGCCACATGTCAGACTGTTCCCCTCACCACATTGCCAGTATCTGCCAAAGGGTCATGGAGTTATACCTCTTCCCAGGGGAGCCTGACAAGACAAAACTGAGGTTTAATAGTTAATAAATATTTCGCACAGTGTATGTCCCATTGACCAGGATGCTTCAATTCACGTTGCATTAACATCTCTATTAAATGAGATGTTTGGAAAGTTGACAGATACTCTTTGCCACCTGATGATGAAGTTAAAAATCTGTACCAAACAGATCTCATTAATTCCGAGCTTGCACTATTGCCAGCAAGTTATCCATTTGGCAGTGTTTTAAAGCATGAATAGCAACCCATGGACAAAAACGTTAAGCTGGGACTTTCAAAACTAACCTTAAAAGGTCTGCTGTAGTACATGCTTAGCTGCACAAACCAATTGTATACATCTGCACAGTCCACAGAGCAATCCAGTAGCTTATGAAAAGGGAACTTCAATTACTCTTGGACTCTCATGAACACAAGATGGGATAACTCCAATTAGCAGATTTCAACTAATTCTAGTCAATTGAAACCAGTTCTCTGGATTGCATCTTTTGCCCATTGCATCTGTTTTGGAATGCACCTTGAGCCCACTCCCATTGAGTTCTAGGGTGCTGCCAATTCCCTTCAATAAGGAGTGACAAAGCTCTGACTTGGCCTCGGTGGGTCCTGCACTTCCTGGCAGACTGCGCTTGCCTCAGAAGCTCTCTCTCAACTTCAACCTAGCCCCTCTCTCTCGAGGCAAGGGTCACAGCCTACTGAGCCACTTTCATCAGAGGCCATAAGGGGTTGGTGGGACAACTCCCACAGTCTCTGTTGCCACATTGGGCTTAGTAGGGGCAGTCTAGCTTCCCCGTCAGGTGATGGCACCTCTATCGTAAATTGGGGCAGGCCCACCTTCTACTCCAGCTGCCAGCACAGGGGCCCTAATGGCAACATCTCCCTTCACCTCCAGAGCTGCTACGATCCCCTGGCCACTCCTCTCTCAACAGGCCCTTCACCCTCACCTCAGCACTTCCTTCCTGCGGCCTCTTTATGTTTGTACTTCCCAGAGGCTGGAAATTCTTATTGGACAAGGATAATTTTTAGACATTTGTCCTTAATTATATAAGATTTGTTATTTATTACTGCTCATTTGTAGTATTCAATTTATTTTCTATTGTATAAAAACCCTACATTAAAAAAACCCACTGAGTTAGGAAATGCCTAATTTAAGGTTGTCCATGCAGCTATAATTTAGCCCCCTTATGAATCCTCCACACCATCTGTTTTCAAGCCTCTGCCTTATTCTCTGTCCAACTTGTGCATTGAATGAGTCATGGTACCACAACACAAAAGGGAGCATATGATCATATAATTAGGCTGTACCATAATGCATATGTTTAAGGGAGTGAATTCGTTTTAACAGGCTACATTAATTCTGACTATTTAACTTTTGAGTGTTTGGCTTTTCAAACAGTTTTTAAATGTAATTTCATAGGGCTTTTTTTAAAAAGGAAAATGAAAACCACAAAAATTCTAGCGAATGGAAACATTCT